CAGGCGGGAGGACAGGTATTCCCGCGGGACAGGTCTAGTAAGTACTCACGGGGCCCTCCCGGGAGGTAAGTGAATATTCCCGGCTATTAAAACCCTATTATCTGAAGCTAACCCCCATTATATTGTAATATATTTATGTGTGCCACACATTGTGTGGTGTTACAGATTAACAATACACAATATTTTCTAAATTTTATTTACTAGTATAGTTTTGTATATAAGTTAGTATTAATATACAGTAGACATTATTTAAAGTAGCTTTTTGTATATTTAATAAAACATTCATTCATATTAATTGTTTTTCAAAGTACGGAATAAGATAGAGCAAAGTTGTTATTAAAAGTAATAATTTAATTATTAATTGCTTATAAACATTATGAAACAAAATGTAATTAATATTTATTTTATTGATGGGCATACAGTACACAGAATATTAAAGACTATTTATTTATTTTTATACTACTCATTGCATATACAGAATATTCTGTTCCCACAAAACAAACATATTTTTACGCTTTACTTACAGTCACAACAATAGACAATACACAGCACTTTGCATACCAGTGCACATCTACTGTATTTAGAGCACAGGTATGCCAATACACACCAGACTATTGTATATTAGTGGAACAATAGCCAACAAATCACCACAATGACCTTTGGGGTCTTCCTTTTTGAGCTTGATCCATTTTTCTAATTTGACGCAATTGTCGGTGTTATTGCACGCGCCCGGGAACGCCTCGCCCAATTTTTCTCCTTGCTGTTACTCGCCTGGACCATGTGCAGTGCCCCGTACAGCACCGCCATCGCCATTGTCATTAGCAAAATGTGCCGGTTCATTGTGATTCACTCGGCTACCAGCTGAGTTTATCGTCTTGGTACTTTCCACCAAGATTGGAATTTAATGAATTGGCAAATTTAATTTAGGCTAGATTTATGAATTTAATAATGGCTATTTATAACTTACGTCTGTATAGTGCGATCCACACATAGGGAGTGTGTTGTTTGTGGCAGTTTTTACAACATATGGTCAATTTTGATTCACATATCAATGAAATGTATTATTAATGCTTAAAATATACAAATTTTTATTTATAAGTTAGAGAAAGACGTAATGACAATGTTCAAAAGTATGATAGCGTGCACCCGAGAGTTATTGTTATAAATTGAAAGTACTTGTTCTACAAAGTCTAGTGGTATACTTCATATGGTCAAGTGACCTTGGGTTTGGCCGCAGTGACCACTTTTATCGGGAAAAATCTGAAAGTCAAATCTTTTATTTCATAAATAACCATATCATATTATATATCAATAGAAAGGTATGGATGAGTAGAATTGAAATCCGAAGGAATTTCTCAAATCTGATATAATCAAGAAAAGTTATATCAAAATTAAGAAATTTAGTATCAGTTTTGTACGTTTTATATAGTGAATAACGTATTTACTGAACATCATTGATATCAATTTTAATTATGCTTACAATGATAATTAATTTGGCAAATTAAAAAAAAATTTAAATATAAAATTTTTGGCATTTCACCCATTAACATTGAACTTTATATTTTATTATTTTAACAACAGTTTTACTTATATAATAAAACACTTACAGCCATAATATATAATTGTTAATTTTATTTTTTGAATTGCCTATTATTGTCCTAAACATCTCTATTGTTAAGTTATAAGTTTGAGATAAAATTAGTTCAATTCAATGATTATTAATTTTACAATTTACTATTTATTAAAATTTTATTTAACATAAACTTTTATAGTCAAATACAAAAAATTACATTTCATGTTATTAGCAAACATTTAGTGTGTACCTCAAATATGACAATTATCATTTAAACTAGTCATGATAATTTAAATTATATTAACATTAGCTAAGGATCTTCTGTGAAACATTTGCCCTTGTGACATATTTGCTCTTTGTCATCTTTGTCATCTTTGGGATGTTTGTGATGTTTGCGATGTCTGCGTTGTTTGCGCTTTTCAATCCACTTTTCAAGCAAGCTAATATGCGCCTTGCAATCTTCATCTTTTGTGCATTTCGGGTTCTTCTCAATTTCAACTGTAATAGTTATTTTCTTTACTTCGGGTTTTGTAGAAGTAACATGGCCAATTAATGCCACGCATACCACCACCATCAACAACAGTGTCGCCCGATTCATCTTAAATAAATAGTAGATTTTTATTAAATTGCAATAAACTATTTATTGACTTACCTTTCACTTTCACTTCAGTTTATGGTTTGGTGGTTATATAAAACTTTCATATATTATAATATTTTATTAGTTTAATTAAATGTTTTCAGTGTAAATGTAAACTTATTATAACATTAATAAACGCCTATTAAATCAGTAAATTTATTTAACAAAACTCTGTATAAGGTAAGTTAGTATTTTTTTAGTAATATGACTGAATTAGTTAATGACGTACATTATTAAATAAAATTGTACAATTTAAATAATTAATAATAACGTTTGTTTCTGCAAGACAATATAATAAATTATTATACATCAAGTATAATAAACTGTTTCATTTTATTTTTTCACTGTAATTTAAAACCAATCTTCAAAACCAATAGTTAGTTTTATTTCATTATTAAAGTGCCCATATGCATAATATAATAAGTTAATTAATAGATTGTGAAATGAAAAAATATTAAGTTAAAAATTGTAATGTGTATGACTTTTCATGATTATTTTAATAATGTAAAATAGAATTTTAAAATTACAAAATATAGTTAAAAATATCTCTTAACCTAAACAATGACACAATCAAATATTCTGGCATATAAGTAGTCATGGAAACACAAAGGCATTTAATGAATAATATATTTATTTGTGGTGCTGATAGATTAAAAATATGCAATATTTTCCAAATAAATTTATTTATTACTATATTTTTGTATGGAAGATAATATTACTATTGACATTATTTAAAGTAGTTTTTAGTATATCTTATTTAATAAGACATTCAATTATATTAATTGTTTTTAAAGTACGGCATACGGTAGTGCAAATATGTCATTAAAAGTAATATTTTAATTATTAATTGCTTATAAACATTATGAAACAAAATGTAATTAATATTTATTTTATTGAAGGGCATACATAGAATATTAACTACTATGCATTTATTTTTATCCTATTTATTCTATATACAGAATATTCTGTTCCCACAAAACAAACATATTTTTCCGCTTCACTTACAGTCACAACAATAGACAATACATAGCACTTTGCATACCAGTGCACATCTACTGTATTTAGAGCACAGGTATGCCAATACACACCAGACTATTGTATATTAGTAGAACAATAGCCAACAAATCACCACAATGGCATTTTTACTAGAAAGTGAAAAAAGTTTCAAACTGACCAAACTGTTTTTGTTATTCATACACAGTCTCATCACACTGTCCCTGATCATTTACACGCTCTACTACATGATATTATACGTGACCCAACCTCCCAGTGACCCCGACTACGAGGACACCCAAACCGAATACCATCTGATGATTGTGTTCACCATGATGAGCGCAGCTTTTGAAGTGTTTGGCCTGTTTGCCATATACAGGCAGAATAAATGTTTTGTGATCATGTTCATCTTGATGTCCGTTTTGTTGGTCATCATTAACACATTAAAACGCGGTTTTGGTTACGGCTTGTTTGGCGTCATTCTCACGTTTATCACCGGTTATTACGCTTATATGTGCGATAGGGTTAAGCGTATACAGCCTACCGGTGTTAATCGGTTAGCTGTGTAATTTTGAAATAGAATATGTGCATGATACAATAACAGTTAGTGTGTATAATTATTATGTATTGTGACAAAATATTGTGTTAATGTAAATAATTGTTAACAAATGTAGCATAGTAATTTATATAATTATTTATTTTAATTAATAAATATTACAATTTTTACTTATTATGCAGTAAATTAAAATATTAATTTTATGTATATAATACAGTTACATAATTGTCATTTTTAAATTATTGTGAACATAATATAAAATATTTAATTACACAAAATACGTAATAATCTACCAATTAATTTACGTAACAAACAATGTTATAAGAAATTTGTAAAACATTTAAATGATATCTTATTATGAATACAACACGTTCTGTATTTCATTGCTTAAAGCTAAATAAAATTATTATTATTATTATTATAAAAATTAAAAAGATTTTAAAATAAAATATTACAAAAGTTGGTGAAGTTTTGATTTCCCGTAATGTTATTTATTTGAAGAATTATATTTGATAATATACATGTATGTAAATATATGTAAGGAACTTGCTTGGTGATATCAAATAAAATTAAAACAGTATTTTAATCAAAATAATATATACAGATAAATTTATTTATCTAATAAAAAAGAAATTAACTATTTTAAAATTATTATCAGTCAAAAAAATTCTTATATTTATGTAAATAAATAATATTACCAAATGAATTTTCATTAACAAAATATATTATTAATTTATATAACAAGAATAACATTTATTATAATACAAACACAATAATACATATATTTAAATGTCATATTTATGATAAATTAAAAAATAATTTACTTGTTGTAAATTATTGTAAAATATGTCTTACAGCAACTGTTTAACAAAAACAAATTATACAATTATATATAACCAAAAGCAAAATCCAACACGGCAAACGCTGACAAACCGACCCACATGCCCAGTAACCCACCAAACGTGCCTATAAACTGGACAAAACTGATCTCGGGTATGTGCTCGGTGATTTGATGTGGCATCTGATTGTGTGCCAAACGAATGTGGGTTTGCTTAGTCCAGGGCGAGTCACTTTCAATCGTATCGCTGGCCTTAACGTTGTAGTTATAGTACCTATTAGTGCACTCTTGAGGGCACTTGAGTTCGCACTCATTGTTCAAACGAGACGAGTGCCTCCGGTAGCACACCATCCGGTCTACCAAGCGCTCGTAGATATTATTGGTAAGGGCGGCCTTAACTATACCAGGGTCAAACTCGCCGCAAATACGATCATTGACCAAGGGAGCACCCGGTGCCACCAGGTCCCGACGCCACAGACTATCCGACCGGTACAGGCATAGTCTGGTGGCGTTGTGCTGGTGTAGGGTTTGAAGGGGTGATTGTTTATCGTTGTCGCATGTGTTGACCAGACGGTTGTAGAGGCACTGATTGACGCAATCGGCCCGCAGCTGATAGTCGCCGGGCTGTGTACTAGTGATGTCGTACTCCTGGCATTTGGTGTCATACCCGGGCGGCAATAGTATGGTTTTCCACCGGTTGTACGTCATTTCGTACCATTTGCCCGGTTTTAAGCGCATAAAATTGTTTGAATTCATTTGTTGTGGTATTATGTTTGGCGAGTGTATGGACAGGTACATATGCGCCGACCCATCGTACAAGCTAGGTGGAAACCAAGACTCATGTTGATAGATGTTTATGTGCATCACGCGTAACTCTACCGGTGGTATTTAGTATAAAATTTTTATAAATTAACAAATTAGTCAAATAAATAAAACAATGTCAAATATCATACCAATCTGGTATTCCCTCCATTTAGGTTCCATTTGACTAAAAAATGTGAAACACTTGAACCCCTGGCGGCCGTCGGGCAACACAATGGACTCAATGGGGTTCGTGTCTGTGATCTCAATCACATTAAGTGTCATATTTTTATGAAATAGCCTGATGCCTTTTACACGTATGTCAATAGCAAACTCTGTCACTTTCCTCTTATTAAATACGCTTGAATTTTTTTTACCATAATGATAAGGTATGCTCAGGTCAAACAAATCGCGCAACCGATGATCTTCTTTAATGAACCCTGATACATTGTCATCATACAGACCATTTAGGTAGGAAACCCTTGTGCTATTATGATAGTTAATGTTACCACGAGCGATAATCCGCATTTTGTCCAGGTAACTTTTGTACTGTTGACCATATGTGTCAGCATATGTTTTAGCCAACCGTTTCATAGATAGTAGTCGTGGGTAGCATACAGTGACCGAGGGTATTTTATTGTATTTAATTTGTTCAACCTTGATGTTAACCAGAGTCTGGCCGCTCATATACTGAGTCGTGAGATCTATGACCTGATAAATCATGACCGCCGAGCAGATCATTATAATGCACAACAATACGATTGTTTTAATCCGGGTCTTTTTGCTTGTTGGCTGTTTTAAAGTTTTCATTACATGGGTTTTATTGTGACTCCCTTTGCCAATTATTTTAAAGTTGTCGCCCATTAGCCTTAATTCTGAGTTATTGTCCTTGATTATACAATAATTAATGGTTTAAATTAAATGGTGATTTGTTCAAATTAATAACTTATTAACTATTCAACTATTAATTTTTTCATTATCATTTTTCAATTAAAAAAGTTCCGTAATATTGTACATCATCTGCATAAGGAACAAGTAATGTTTTTAAAACTCACCATGCTTATATCAATGTTATTTTCACCATGCTCATTATAATCTATTAAATGGATTTCAATTAACGCCTCCAAGTGCTCAATACGTCGGTGCTGTTCGGCATTCACTGCCCGGAGTTCAGCCAAATCCTGTCCATTTTGGCCCACCGTTTGATTCAGCTGTTCATTGGCTTCAAGTAAATTATGTAGAGTTTTGTTGATTTCTTCCAAATTCATTGATTAAGGTATTTATATAACAATTTAAATTAAATAACATGCAACCATTATAAATATTTAACATTGTATTTAATAAAAGTAACCTTTTTAGTTTATCTTATATAATATGAGTCATATTACGAGATACTAACATAATAGAAGTTATGATTCTATTATTATAGTTTTTATTTTTAAGATAAAAATTAGATAATTTGATTATTACTATGTTGGTTAATTTTGTGTTACAATAAATGATTAAAATTTTTTGCTATTTAATAAATAATATTTTACAAACAGTTCCATCTATTATTAAATAAATGATTTTAATTTTATTAATAAATCAATAATACTTTTTAACCAAACATGTAACAATTCAACTTATTATACAATGTATATTTCATTTATATAAACTTTATTTTATTTAATAGTTATGAATTAATTTCTATTTGTTTCTACATAAAGGGTTCAAATAAAAAATTTAATTGTATATTTAAATATCGATGGATAATGAAATACTTAATTTCAAACAGATATTGTTGGGCATGGTATTTAAATAAACTTGGTAACTACAATTAAACATAACCAAGCCCAAAATCTAACACGGCAAACGCAGACAAACCGACCCACATGCCCATCAGTCCACCCACCGTACCTATGTACATGACAAAACTAACTTCGGGTATGTGCTCGGTGATCTGATCGGGCAACTGATTGTGTGCCATACGAATACGTGTCTGCTTAGTCCAGGGCGAGTGTGCGTCCATTTTATCACTCGTCTTGACGTTATAGTTATAGTACCTCTCCTGACACTCTTGCGAGCACTTGAGTTCGCACTCGCCGTTCAAACGCACGGCGTGTCGCTGAAAACACTCTCTACGGTATACCGTTGCCTCATCGGCCTTAACACTACCAGGGTCGTATTTGGCGTATACACGCACGTCGGCCATGCTCCCTCCCTTTATAGCCAGATCCTTGCGCCATAAAATATCCGACCGGTACAGGGATGCCGGCGCTTGATCATGATCATGGTGGGACTTTTTATCGGGATCGCAATTCCTTGCCAAAGCTTCGTGAGCGCATTGGCTGACGCAGTCAGCTCGCAGTTGATCGCCGGGTCGAGCGCTGGTAATGTCATAGTTGCGACACTTGGTGTCATACCCGGGCGGCAATAGTATGGTTTTCCACCGGTTGTACGTCATTTCGTACCATTTGCCAGCTTGTAGGCTCACAAAATTGTCCGAATTCTTTAGCTGGGGCATTGCGTTTGGCGAGTGCATTGACATGTACAGGTGGGCCTCATCATCGTACAAGCTAGGTGGAAACCAGGATTCGTGGTGGTAGATGTTTATGTGCATTACTTTTAAATCTTCACATGTTGTTGTTAATAATATAACAAAACTCACATCACTTAAAGTTGAATATATAACCTACAGTTTGAACGTGTTTTTACTGTCATAAGTCTTATAATTTTCATATAATTTACAGTACAATTCGTTACATTTATGCTGAGTCCCACTGCACTGTACAGTTAATACGTGCGTAAAAGTATGTTTTTGTAAAGTTATACAATGATTAAGTATAAGTGTTTCGTATCAATAAAAAGGTAATGTTATTATCAATAATAATTCGTATGAAAGTGTAATTGTAATTAAATGTAATTATGATTAAAATACGTAAAACATAGTTGAATTAAATGTTGCAAATTGTGATTATATATGGTTTGCAGATGTGTTCAAAATGTGGTATCAATTAGCACATAGTCGTAAGAAAGGGTTAGAAATGAAAGTTTAAGCTAAACACGAAATTCTTAGAAAAACAATGAATTGAAATAATGGTAAAAATAAAGATAATTATTCTTCGATGTCTTATAGTTGATCCAATACATGCAAATCCTTACACAATTATAATTTATTTTGAATTATAATCTCAATTAAATATTTTATAATAGATGGTACTGTTTATAATATTTTATCTATTTAAAATAATGAAAATATAATAATTAAACAAAAATATAGTAATACAGAATCTGGTTATTATATCTCATTAGATAACAATAATCACAAACACTTAACTACTATATAAAGTCTTAAATAATTATAATAAAAACCCCAATAGAAATAATTAACTCACACACGTAAAGTTTTTATGTGAGTTTTATATATAGTAAAATAGAGTGTATATACGATTTATTTTTATACATTTAGCAATTATTATTTTTTATTAAATATTTATAAATATTATTAAATTTTATAAATACGTCTAATCAATGGATTATTTAGAAGAGATTAATAAAAGTCTAAATAATTTAAGCAAAGATAATAAGCAATTAAAACAAAAAGTGAGTCAAAGTGATCAAAATGTGGCTGAATTACGGGCAGTGAATGCTGAACAGGACCGCCGTATTGAGCATTTGGAAGCACTAATTAGTGGTCAATTAAAACAGTGCAATGATGATGATAATAACAATGAGGTAAGCACTAACTTTGCATACTAAAGATATAGTGTGGCAAGCTTTATTTAGTGGCAAAATGTATGTGTTTTCAAGAATAACCAAGAATATTCTTTGGCTATAACCAGAGAATATATGTAAATTATAAAATCAATCTAATATGCACAAGTATTGTTCAAAACCGTTTACAGTAAAATACTTTTATATCTGATTTTATTATTTGAATAGTTGAACTTAACAAATCTAGTCTTAGCAAAACAAGTCTAACATAGTTATATACTGTACATTTACATGAATTATCAATATTAATTTGAATGTATTAATTCTAATTTTTATATTGATAATCTTATAAATTAGCTTATGATTAGATATTATTTTACCTGTTAAACTTTGAAACTTACATATTTATTACCGTACTAATTATTACGTAACCTTTGATATATTACTATAATTGCATAATTCTAAAGTTAGATCAAACATCGGTGATAAAAACAAAATAATAATTATAAATTTTAAAATTAAATGACACACAGTTAGCACTGGGGCTTATGGCCAAAACCAATGCAATGGGTGCTAAAAGTGGGGATAATAATAAGTCGCATATAAGCCTTGGCTTAATACAGAAATACAAGCAAATGAACAAAAAAGCACGGATTAAGTTTATCATACGAATGACCATAATAGTAATCTGTGCCATTGCTATGATTTATCAAGTAATTGATTATACGGCACAGTATATGAGCGGCCAGACACTGGTTAACATCCAGATTGAAGAAAGCAAGTACAACAAAATACCCTCAATTACCATATGTTATCCCCGGCTACTGTCAATGAAACAAGTTGCTGATGTATACCCTGTGACTTATGGTGAACAGTACAACGCTTACTTGGACACCATGCGAAGTATCGCTGATGGTGATATTAGTTATGAAAATAGCACTATGGTTTCACACCTGAACCGTTTATACGATGGGAATGTATCAGGGTTAATTAATGAGGGAAATCGCCTTCGCGATTTGTTTGACCTGAGCATACCTTATCATTATGGTGATAAGAATTCAAGCTTATTTAATAAAGGCAAATTGACCGAGTTCGGTATTGATATACATGTAAAAGGCATTAGGTTGTTTTATAAAAATATGACTCTTAATGTGATCGAGGTCAAAGACACGGATCCCATTGAGTCCGTGGTATTACCTGACGGTCGCCAGGGGTCGAAGTGTTTCACATTTTTTAGTCAAATGAAACCTAAATGGAGGGAATACCAGATTGGTAAATTACATTTGTCACATAATTTATAATTATACATTTGTATTAAAATAATTATTATATTTAGTTTATTATGAATTTAAAATTATTTTTAAAAAATTATTAATACCAATGTACGTATATCACCGTGAGCAGATTTAAAAGTGATGCACATAAACATCTATCAGCACGAGTCCTGGTTCCCACCCAGCTTGTACGATGGGTCGGCCCACGTATATCTGTCAATGCATTCGCCAAACATAATGCCCCAGCAAATGAGCTCAAATAATTTCATCAGGCTACAAGCGGGCAAATGGTACGAAATGACGTACAACCGGTGGAAAACCATACTATTGCCGCCCGGGTATGACACCAAGTGTCGCGACTATCGCCTAAGCAGCACCAAATCAGGCGATCAACTGCGAGCCGACTGCGTTAATCAGTGCATTTACGACGGTCTGGTCAAGCATTGCGACCATGATAAACAAGCAGCCCAACATGGTCAAGATCCACTATGCCTGTATCGATCGGATATTTTATGGCGCAAAGACCTTGTGGAATCTGGTGCACTTTTAGATAACAATCGCATATGCGCTAAATACGACCCTGGTACAGTCAACGCACACCTGGCCGATGAGCGCACGGTATACCGAAGGGTGTGTTTGCAGAGTCACGCGTTACGTGTGAACGGCGAGTGCGAACTCAAGTGCCCTCAAGAGTGCAATAATAGGTACTATAACTATAACGTGAAAACTAGCGATAAAATGGACGCACACTCGCCCTGGACTAAGCAGACACACGTCCGTATGGCACACAATCAGATGCCTCAGCAAATCACCGAACACATACCCGAGATCAGTTTTGTCCAGTATATAGGTACTGTGGGTGGATTGATGGGCATGTGGGTGGGTTTGTCCGCGTTTGCCGTTTTGGATTTTGCACTAGGTTATGTATAAATCAAAAATAATGTAATGAGAGTAATTGTTGTTTTGACAAGTTTTTAATATTTAAAAGTTTATATTTTTAAATTATAAAGTTAACTTAATTTTTAAATTAAATTATATCTCTACATTAAAATAACGTTCTATTAAATAGTTTTAAATAGATATAACTGAATGTTTTTTAACTGTTAATAGTACATAATTTTAATTGTGTATGGTTTTTAATATTTTTAGCGACTAATTTTGAACAAATATGTTATTCCTATTTGATGTTTTTAAAAAAATTCTAATTATGTACCACAATTAATTAATTATGATTGAAAAGCCCGTGGTGCAAGACTTTTTGCGTTAACTGTATTAGATTTTAAATAACAAAATTATAATATTAATAATTAAAGATAATGCAAAATTAATCTGGTAATTATAACAATAATCGCAAAAAACACACCTAACAAAAGGCAAACCTTTACATATTAAACGTTGAAAATATTATAATAAATCTAGCATAATATAATATTGATACATAATAGAAATAATCACATAAGTACCAGGAAGATTTGTTTTTAGTGAATAGTATACATCTATACAATTTTAATAATTATTGCTAATAAAACTATAATTTTTAAATACTATTTAATTTAATTCATTTTATAAATACTCTAATCAATGGATAATTTGCAAGAAATTCACAAAACTTTACATAAGTTACTTGAAGTTAATGAGCAGTTAAAACAAGATGTGACTGAATTAAGGGCAGTGAATGTTGAACAGGATTGGCGTATTAAGCACATGGAGGCGCTAGATTGTAGTCAATTAAAGCCAAGCAATGGTGATGATGATAATATTAACAATGAGGTATGATGATGAATAAACAATAAATAAACACATGTTAAATAAAAACTATACTTAAAATCTTGCCGTAAGACGTTAAATTTATAGAGAATAATAAACAACATGCTTTATTTAGTTATTAAATGTATGAATGTTTAAAAATAACGTTTGGGAACGTTTAAAACTAATTACCTTTAATTCAATTTAGAAAATTTTAGTTTAGACATTGGCCCGATATTTTCATATCTAATTTCTAATTTGATGACTTGTTATATTTTAAATATATTTATTATAATTGTATGATAAGATATTTTACATAATAACTCTTATAATACTTGAAGTGCATATTTATTATTGTAACAATTATTAAATATCATTTAATAAAATACTTATTTAATAAAATACTTATTTAATAAAATAGTAATATTACTACTATCTTAAATTAGTTTAAGCCATGATAAAACAAATTAATAACTATTTGTTTCCAAACTAAACAAGGCCACACATTTAGCATTGGGACATATGACCGACAAAAATCAAATTAGTGTTAAAAACAGGAACAATAAGGACCAACATTTAAACTTGGGCTTAAAACAAAAATACAAGTTAATGAACAAAAAGACCCGAATTAAATTCAGCATACGAATGGCACTAATAGTAATCTGCTCGGCCATCATGGTTTACCAAGTGATTGATATAACTGTCCAGTATATGAGCGGCCAGACACTGGTAAACATCAAGGTCGCGGAGGTTAAGTACAACAAAATCCCCGCGATTACCATATGCTATCCACGTCTACTGTCAATGAAACGAGTGGCTGAAACATTTCCAGACCTTTATGGTAAACAGTATGCAACTTACTTGGATAGAATGCAAAGTATCGCTGATGGTGATATTAGTTATGAAAACAGCACGGTAGTTTCACACCTGAACGATTTATACGATAGTAATGTATCAGGGTTGATTTATAAGGAGCATCGACTGAGCGATTTGTTTGACCTGAGCATACCTTTTCATTATGATAAAAATTCTAGCATATTTAATAAGAACAAGTTGACCGAGTTTGCTATTGATATACGCTTGAAGGGCGTCAGAATGCTCTATGAAAACCGGACCCTTAATTTGATCGAGATCACAGACACGGATCCCATTGAGTCCATTGTGTTGCCCGACCGCCGCCAGGGGTTCAAGTGTTTCACATTTTTTAGTCAACTGAAGCCCAAATGGATGGAATACAAAATTGGTAAGATAATTGATAATGGTTACATCATTTATAAATGTATATATGTTATACTGTACATTCGTTATTTATATTGTTATTTTATTTTTTAAATAATAACACATTTTGAATGTGGGTATTATTAACAACAACATGTGAAGATTTAAAAGTAATGCACATAAACATCTACCACCACGAATCCTGGTTTCCACCTAGCTTGTACGATGATGAGGCCCACCTGTACATGTCAATGCACTCGCCAAA